GCCCGGGGGGTGCGGGGGGCCCGGGCGGGGTTTTGCCGCCAGCCGTGACATCAGTCCTGACGCAATGAGCCCCTTTCTTAACTCTAGGCGTGTGAGCCTGGCGGCCCGCGCCATTCGCCCCGGCTCCAGCCCGCTCTCCTGCGGAGCCGGGGGTCGCCGCCTGCTCGGAGCAGCCCGGCGGCCCGCCCCGAGGGTCTGCCGGGGAAAATAACATGGAACAAAGCCCACAGACTCTTTTTTTTTAAACGAATTCCACCGTTACGGTGCAACAAACCACCGGGGTATGCCTAGAGCTTATTTAAAGATTAAATAATGCGGGCTGGCTGCAACAAAGTTACAGTTTTTAATTAGCCCTGATACACCTGAGCGGAAGCACGACCCGGTCACGAATTTATGCTTTCGTACTTGCGTGTACCCGGGTAAATGCACTGATGTACGAAACTGCTGAATATCTCACCCTGCCCTTCTTCACCATCTTGTTGCCTTATAAAAGCAGGTTTAAAAAAAATCTGAGGAGCATGGCACCGCAGACAGACGTTTTGGGTTTCCCAGCCCAGGCTCTCGCACGCAGCCGTGGGGCAGCCACGTGGGAGCCAGCGCTGCGCGCAGGCTCGGCACGGTTTGTCCCCTGCGATGGCCGTCGTTGGACCCGCCAGCAGATCCAGCGCAGACTGGGGGAGAAACACCCTCCCCGTTGTGCGCCGAGGGTTAGAAAGGTGACTGTGCCACCGTGTTCAGTTTGAAAATGGGTCTTACATCGCGGTGGTGAAGATCGTCACCACAAACGCTCGAAGTACCTCGCATACGGAGGCTGGGCGAGCGTGAGCGTGGACACAGTCCTTCTGTCGAGAGATCGAGTTAACGCAGGGACGTGTTGCTCTGCTGAAGATACAGAGCATTTTTGCATTCAAAACCTGTGAATCTGACACTTCTCACTAGCATTAAGTTGCTTTTTAAAGCATGACACTGAGATAAATGTGTGTGTCATTCAAGGCAACTTCAGTAACAGTGGTTTAAGAGATTTGCTGCTATAACCAATTAAAGTTACTGTTTCAAAACCTTGCAGGTTTACCTTGATCTTAGATGTATAATAAAATTTCCTTTCATTAACATTTATACTCATCTAATTAGCAGATATACACAATTAGAAGACAATATCAAGTGAAGATGGTAAATATTTGCAGTATTAACTATTATTTATCATTCTATTTATAGCCAGTGGGAATTATACTGTGAGATTAAAACATATTTAACTAGCACAGATTTGACATGTCCTTCTAAAACACTGTTTCTTATGCTCACAGTTTATATCTTTAAGTTGTCAGAACCTTTTGGTCCCTGTTAGTATAATTAAGTTTATCCTCAGCAAGGATAATACTTTTAATATTTGCCTTGCCTACTCTGAGAAGTTAGACCACTTTAAATAATTGCTTTAGAGATTCATTTCATTACATTTGTTCAGTTCTTGAATGCACATTGCCCATAAATTGGAGACTCCACAAACCAACTGGTTTTGAAAAGTAAGTCCACATTTTAGTTGCTTCTAGATTATCCGGAAATTATTTTGGTTGCATTTATCGTTCTTTGTCAGCTTTCCCTGC